TCCTCTTTTTTTTTTTTTTTTCCATATTTTTTCTGAACTTTGTCAGATTTTGTCTTATTCTTCTTGTCCCCCCTTTCGCTGACGTGGCATGTCGTCGTCTTCTTGTTCTGTCGTTCTGCTGGAGCAGAACTGGAACGTCGTATTCCCGGCACATGGCAAGCAGCACCGGGGAGTGTAGCTGAACAGTCGGCATCCTTCCGCATCGCACCTGCCTCGTTAGCAGCTACCACATCAGGACTGGCCATCGCAGCATCTGCCACATCAGCATCCGGTCGAAGTTTGCTGCTTCCACGTCGGCAGCGCTATGGCCAGCAACAACGCTGACGGGGCAGGGAGACTGGATGTGGGGCGGGACCCCTTCCGGGAGGACCTCAACCACCGGCGGGATCACGTGGTGTGGACGTGGGTAACTGCCGGTCAGTTGCTGCCAAGGAACGCTCGTGGATCAAGGAGGCTGCGCTGCAAGCTGTGCAACAAGGAATTCACAGGGACACAGAAACGGGCGATGGAGCACTTTTGTTTGAAGAGGGTCTCCGCCCGGTGTCCAAATGCAACGATGACGATTTGGAGGAGGTTGCACAGGGTTGGTTTTGAGATGCCGCCAGATCTTATGGAGAGGGTGCAGTGCGCAATAGAGGAGACTGCTAGCGATGACGATGATGGTCCTGTGCTAGAGGACGACGCGGTGGGGCGAGGGGGAGGGGTTGCAATGGATGGGGAGGCAGGGGAGGCGGTTCATGGGGAGGCTGGCAGCGGGGTGGATGACGTGACAAGAGGGGTTGTGGCCGATGGAGAGACTCCAGTCCGGAGACCTGCATTGTCGCAGACTTCGGAGCAGGCTGCCCCCAGACGGGGGGCGGCTAGATAGACGAGCATCGTCATGTACGCGAAGAACCCCAGACAGGCGGACATCGATGATACCTGCTGCGAGTTCTTCGTCGAGAACGCCATCCCGTTCAACGCCGCAAAAAGCAAGAGCTTCAAGAAGTTACAGCTGGCGTGTTATGGGCCGCAACCTGCGGCGAGCTGCCCTCTTGTGCCCACTGGGTACAACCCACTACGATGCAGGCTGCTTGATCGGTTGCGCGGGAGGTTGGAGGCTGAGGATAAGGCGGTCCGGGACGACTGGGAGGCGACAGGCTGCACGTTCATAACCGATGGCACCACAGACATCTGTGGGCGATCGCTTATGAACTACATCCTCGTCGGGCGGTTGAAACCCATTTTCATCAAATGCGAGGATGTGAGCGAGGGGGAGAAGGATGCAGCTGCCGTCATCGTTGGGTGGAAGAGGTTTTTCAGGGAGTGGGGAGTAGAGAAGGTGACTGCGATCTGCATAGACTCCTTCGCAGGGAACAAGAGCGCTGCCCGGATGTTGAGGGAGGATCCCGAATTCGCACAAATCTACTGGATCCCTTGCACGGCACACTGCATGGACCTGCTCATGCACGACATCTGCAAGAAGGAGTGGTCGACGACCATCATCGAGAAGGCCAACAAGGTGGTCGGTCACCTTCTTCAGAGTGCACAGGTGGCCACGATCGCAGCTGCGGACGCAGTTGTTGCAATACCCCGACCTTAAATGCACCTGCCTACTTCGCCCAGCTCAGAGGAGGTTTGGGACAAACTACGTGATGCTGCAGCGACTGGAGGTCTGTGCCAGGGCAATCATACGCATCGTGAATGGACTCGCCTGGGAGAGGATGGTGTGGAGGGGGGATATCAGGGGGAAGGCGTTATTTGTGGAGGAGACTGTTCTTGACAGGGCCTTCTGGGCTGATGTCAAGAAGATGACCACCCTCATGAAGGGCCCTTATGAAGTCCTACGAGAGGTGGACAAGGATGTTCACTACTTGTCTCGGATCTACGACCTGGCCCATCAATTGCCTGAGATGATGTCCTGGTGGACGTGAAGAATAGGACACATATGCTGCTTAGCCCGATCCACGTCGTAGCCCGGTTGCTGGATCCAGTGTTGAGGGACATTGCTGTTTTCAGCAATCTCGAGCTCATGACGCAGTTTGAGGCTGTTGTGGAGCGCCTCATCGGCAAGAGAGGGAGCAAGACGTTTGACGACTGCTTGGACCAACTGTATGAGTTCCAGATGGCGAGAGGAGTGTTCGGCACCACACGGGCGGCGCAGAGGGCGAAGAAGGACAATGCGGTGCTGTGGTGGGAGGCGCACGGGGCTGGCCATCCGGAGATCAAGGCTCTGGCAGTGAAGGTGCTCTCCATTTGGACAACATCCTCTCCAGCAGAGAGGAATTGGAGCACATGGTCACTTGTGCAGACGAAGTCCAGGAACAAGCTGCACCACCAGCGCACCGAGAAGTTGGTGTACTCGGACTGGAGCCTCAGGCTCAAGAGCAGGGGCGATGACGACCCAACGGTGGTAGGAGGATGGTTGGGGCTAGAAGCAGACTGGGCTGACGATGATTTGGTGGGTGATCAGGCGGGTTTGACTGATGCTGTCGATGACGGTGAGCTCGGACATGAGGCTGCTCCATCCGGTGCAGGTAGCACCACCATTCGCAATGATCCTGCTGCGGCCGGGATATCAGCAGGCGTGCCGAGGCGAGGAGAGGTGGAGGAGGGTATGGAGTGGGGTGACATGGAGGAGGAGGAGGACGATGACGATGTGGACAGCGAGGACGAGATTCCACATGACGAGTGGGTGGATGATCGGTCAGACTCTGACAGATCGTGGACGAGGAGGGAGGAAATCACACCATATGTTCTGGGCACACGACATGGATTGAGGTCCCAGAGTCAGCGGTAGCAGGTGCAGCGATATGAGGAGCAGCCTGTGGAGCACCATGAGCAGGCTGTTGTGGAGCAGCAGCAGCAGCAGGCTAACGAGGCTGAAGAGGAGCAGCAGGCTGACGAGGAGCAGCAGCAGCAGCTCGCTGACGAGGAGCAGCAGCAGCAGGAGGCTGACGAGGAGTAGCAAATAGAGGAGCAGCAACAGCAGGCTGACGATCAGCAGGGGGAGGAGGCACTTGGGCACGGGGAGCAAGAGGGCGAGGCAGAGGGAGGTCAGTGCCGCCCGGAGGTGCGGTCATTTTATGGTGCCAGTCTCCCGCCGCACCTGCTCGGTAGTGGGCAAGCACATCCTGGGCGTGTATGGGATCCGCTCGGCTATCGTGCTCCGCTAGGCAGAGGGCGCCTTCCTTCCACAGGAGGCAGAGGTCGCGCTCGTGCCGCACGAGGGACAGGTCGCCCGAGAGGGCGGCCACAGAAGGACAAGCAGCTAAGGCCTGATCCTCCAGTTTCCACCTCTGATGACGACTCCCATGAGAGTGCCCCCCTGCACAAAACGAAAAAGAGGAGGATAGTGCCCGATGAAGGCAGAGAGACACAGTGAGAGAGAGAGAGAGAGAGAGAGAGAGAGAGAGAGAGAGAGAGAGAGAGACCTTTTGTTGTTTCTTTTCCATTCATGCACGGTGCCTGCTCCTCGTAATCAGCCATGCCACGTTGACATTGTCTTTTGTTGTCAGTCGGTTCATGTGGTCGTGCCATTAAGTGTATTCGCATGAATGCCGGTGTGTGTGTGTGTGTGTATTTGTGTGCATGTGTGTGTGTGTGTGTGTCATCTTGTCATGTGTGTGTGTGTCATCTTGTCATGCGCGCGTGTGTGTGTGTGTGTGTGTGTGTGTGTGTGTGTGTGTGTGTTGCAGATGAAGCATGCGATGCATCAGCTACAACAGCTTCAACAGTACTAGCTGCAGCAGCAGCAGCTTCGACAGCTGCATGTGTTGCAGCACATGCAGCAGCGCATGCACCTGTTGCAGCTGCTGCTTCTGCGGCTTGAGCCACTGAAGCTGCTTCAGGTAGTGCATCATCTACATGACAAGATGCAACGACCATAGGCAAGTAAGTATTTGTCGCTCCCCCTTCCCCTTTGCCCTTCTTCCTCCTCCTATCCTATCTACTCCACCATAGCCGAGGAGTAGCGCCGGCCGGTCCTTCCCAACAGCTCCGTTGGCTCCAGCGCTGCTTCACCAAGCGCTCCAGCAGCTTGAAGTTTTTGTGTGTGTGTGTGTGTGTGTGTGTGTGTGTGTGTGTGTGTGCGTGTGTGTGTGTGTGTGTGTGTACATGTGTGTGTGTGTGCGGAGCAGCAATAGCTGCAGGATATGTAACTGCAGGTTGCTGTTGGTGTTGGCAGCGCCGCAGCAGGTACAACACCCGGAGTAGCGCCATCTGCAAAGAACATGAGTATGGACGAAGCACAGAAATCCAAAATGCAAAATCACACTGAAGTCCAAGTAGTCAAAGCCAAAGCAGATAGCAAATGGAACCGAGTAACCATTCAATTGAGAATGATACAGAAGAATCGTGAGTCAATGTCCATGCCCAATAGGGCAACACCAACAGCATAACCCAAATGTAGCTCTCTCTTGTGAATGGCGCCAGGCGCCCTATCTACTCTACAGCCTATCCTACAACTACAGCAATGAACAGCAACCAGACAACTTGCCTACCAGCGAGTGATGATGTCAACACCAATGCTAACCTCCACCTTCACCAGGTACGTGTCCTCTTCCCCACACTCTCCCTTGTTACCCACACAGCGCCCTTCACCTCCGAAGACCACCTTCGCCCTTCACCTCTTCTGCACCCTCATGCGGCCCGGCTATGGCCGCCAGTGCCCTGCATGCAGGCAGTGCCCCTACCGCCTAGCGCTGGCCTGCTTGCTCTTAGCGCAGCGCTGCTCTGCACTGCGCAGCACACATGCATCCGCGCAGCGTGCCCGCAATGCCAGCATTGGCCAAGATCCCCGCTGCCTTGCCCTGCTTGCCTATATGCCAGTGAAGCGTGTGGGCGGCCTCCCTTCAGCCTGTGACCGGGACCCAGAGACTGAACTCAGCCCGATACAGTTGGGCCCCGGAGCAATGCAGTTGCACCTCTTTCATCAGGGCCTGCGGCCAGATTCAGACAGTGGGTCGATTTCCCTTTGGCATTTTCGGCCTCTATACCCAGCATGCATTGTCGGCCTCACATTCACAGCCCAGGGCCTAACTAACTCAGAGGCCCTGGGCATTTAAGCATTTGCTGAAATCCGAGACTCGGTGCACTCCAACCAACTGGCGTTCTGCAACTGTATGGACCCCACTTCGTGAAATGTTGGCACAGAGGGCTCTTGTTGATTTGCTGGCCCGCCTTCACTTAGGGCGGGCACGAGGCTTGCAGGGGCCTTAGCCCAGAAGATGTACATCATGGCAAGGCCCCAACTTGAGGGCTCAATCCTCACACATCGCCTTGCTGCACGGGGTGCTGCACCCCCTGCATCAAAGCGGATGAAGAGGGAGTCGGGGAGGGGTGGCCTCTCGCACTCAACAGAACCCCCTATGCCCCCAAGCCCCTCTTAAAAAAAATAAAAATAAAAATAAAAATAAAATAAAATAAATCGTTCGTGTTTGGTTGATTCTCGGACGCGTTCGCGTTCGGTCATATGCGTTCGCGTTCGCCGGCCGAACGCGAACGGAATGCTACACAGATTTTGCTATCTAATTATTATTTAATTCTAGGAATATTTTTCGTTGTGAGAGACGAATAGTACAGTGAGCGTTGTCGAGCGCATCGGTCCTGCACCACTCAGAGGTAGCGCGGGACCCTCCCGTCCGCGTCACGCAGGAGTCAAAGTACACATCCCGTTGTGGTACACACACGGAGCTTCCGCAAGCCGCTCTGGCCAGGTGCGCCAGCCATACCTCTCGCGAGCACCTACGACAGGACAGGGCCTACGCGAGGCACGACTACCTCCACCTTACGGGAGTTGTCACCTCCCTTCGGTGGGAGTATCCCCACCGAGCTACCAGTCCACAGTACGAAAGCTGATCAGCTGCAATCGCAGAGGTGGACCAGCCAAGGGCGTTCCTCGTTCGCTGTAGCATAAGGGGTACGCGTGGTACTATGCCTCTATCGGACCCGCACGCGAACCGAAATCTTGGGGGGCTGAGGTCCCAAGCGCGACTCGTCGCCAGTCGACTAGGACGTATCCCACACGCCACGCGCACACCACTATAATGTACATAAAGGTAAAGCACACGCACACACGCACACGAGGACTTAACGACGCAAAGGACATACAACGCGACACCCTCCTAGTCCCTTAGTATCCATCCCATAACTTCCTGGTGCGGGAACCGGCTGAGCGTCGTGCGCGAGACTTAATATAAAGCCACGCGGGCGTAGGCCTTCTCATATCGGCCAACAATGCCAACGTACACAAGCAGTCGCGAAGATGGCGTACTATGCAATGCCCATAATCGAGCGGTCCCTCGTGGATCCGAGGACCGCGTATGACACTCACGTGTCAGACTCGAAGTATCGTGAAGGTTCCGCCCTTCACGACATTGCACGGCTGAAGGACAAGCCGTGCGACCGCCGCGGCACGTGCGGCTTTCGGCCCGAGTGCCCTGGCGGTCAAGGCAAATAGGCTCTGCCCGAGGGGGGTCCCCTTTAGTGTAGGGCCTAGGGCTTGGGATGTCCTGGACAAGGGCCTTGAATCCCGACCCAGGACCAACGTCCGACGAACAATCTCCAAGAAGCACTTATATAAGTAACAGGGTCATCCTTTCTCTACTAGCCCAACCCTTGATTAACTCCTTAGCAYGCGGCCCCTTTCATGCCACACAAGTACCCTACATAGGTACGCATACATACACATATACACACATATGCACACATATGGGAATGAACGTGTGACGATCACATCTCGCAATCATAGTGGACCTCCTCATAGCCATACACATATATAACATCGTAGGGCAGTCCAATCCAATAATCCAAGCCCTAGAACATACCTGCAATCACATCAAAGAGTCAAGCACAAGTCCATACGCTACACGGAGTCAACTCCAACCAATCTCTATGCTCATACCCTTTGCCTCAGCCATGCAAGCCCCAACCTCCAGCCAACCAACCTTAAGTAAATACTCAGTACCTTTATTAAATCGTCATTCAATAAAAGTCCGGGTAAAACCTTAACAAAACAGAAAAGATCACCAGGGCTGAAGCCTCTTTAGGTTGAGTAAGGAGAGTGGGTTGAGGTTGAGTCGTAACCGACGAGTCGGCAACCGACCTGTTATCTGTGATAACAATAAGTGATCCTTGTAGGATCAACTGAATTTAGTCCACGTTCTGACGTGACCGATCAAAACGACCTGTAACACAAGACAGACTAACTTCAAACTAAGTCTATACGTCCCGGAGGGGGTAATTTCCATATCCTGATCTTACTTAGTCATCATATCTGACTAAGCCTAAATCTACCCCTAGCTAGCACTCAGCGTAAGGTGGATTTTGCCATAGCTTCTCGTACATATGTTGCCACCTGTCTAACTATAGGTTAACTCCTCTAACTTATGAAAATTTCGGCAGCGCTTCCCGTAGGAGAAGTGACATCGCAAGAAATATACTAGCCTAAAAGTCAAACTTGTGGATTCCAGAAGCCAAGATCAGTCTAACTCCCTGACTTAGCAAAAATTTGGGCAGCACTCCCCTCCCCTCAGGGAGGAAAGCTTCCCAGATTTATACCAAGTCAGAATTGAACTTAGACATAAAGTCTAAGTTCTGTCAAGACAAACTCTTAACCAACCCCTTAGATTTGTAAAAATTTCGGCAGCGCTTCCCGTAGAGAAAGTGTCAGTCCAAGATTTATACAAAGCTAGGTTTGGAATCTAAAAATGACTTTGATCCTTCAGGGCCCAATTTTGACTAACACCCTGAATTAGTAAAAATTTGGGCAGCATCTCCTTAAGAAAAGGAGGCTCCCCAGATTCTTACTAAGTCAAACAGTCATCAAGGCCGGATCCCGAAGAAGTCAAAGTTTTGACTAACTCCTTGATTTCGTAGAAATTTCGGCAGCGCTTCTCGTAGAGAAAGTGGCTTACCAAGATTTATAAAAGACCAAGTAAGACTCAAGAAGATCCCAGAGAATGCAGAAACTGAGGTAAGTAAAAAAAGCGAGTCCAGAAAATGCAAGAATCGATTTTAACTCCTATGACTCTAGCACGTGGCGAGCAACTACATCAACTACCTATCAAATCCAAACTCGGACTAAGAAGTGGCATCACTCAGTCACATGCAGGTCAAACCACAAACATGCACTCTCTCACCATCCCCAAGTTACTTTGGCAAACAAGAGTTCGTAGTCCTTCAATGATTTGTCCCTTATACCCAGCTTACATAGGGCATAAGGCTAGAC